TTATTGTAATTGCTAACCCAGGATCTATTTTCATTTCATGCTCACTGCTTGTTTTCTGTCTACTCAAAGTATCTGCCACTATGTTTTCCTTTCCACTACAGTGTTCTATAGTGAAATCATACTCTTGTATTGCAAGTATCCACCTGGTTAAACGGGAATTTAAAAGTTTACATGTTTTTAGAAAAGTTAACGCCTGATGGTCGGTGATAATTTTAAGCTTTGCTCCTAAAACTAAATATCTTGCTTTCTCTAAACAAAATACTATTGCTAATAATTCCTTTTCACTTGTATAATAATTGAGTTCACTTCCTTTAAGAGTTCTGCTCATAAACATAATTGCTTTTTTCTCCCCAATGTCGTTATATTGGTAGATGTGGCCTCCAACAGCATAATCTGAACTGTCTGTTTGTAGGATGTATTCCTTGTTTGGATCTGGGTGTTTGAGTATACATGTATCCAGGAATAATCTTTTAGTATTTAGGAAAGCTTGTTCTTCTATATCGGTCCAAATAAACTTATTCTTTTTTGATGTAAGTTTTAATAGTGGCTGTATCGTCTTTGAATATTGGCCAACAAACTTGCTATAATAGTTTATCATTCCAAGGAATCCTTTTAATTGTTTTGGGTTACGAGGTCTTTGAAAGTTTTCTATAACTTCAAGCTTACTGGGATCGGCTTTAACTCCTTCAGTGGTAATAATAAATCCTAAAAATGGAACTTCTTCTCTGCAGAATAGTGATTTATTAAACTTAATGGTCATTCCAGCATTTCTAAACTTAGTAAATATAGTTCTTAAATGAATAAGGTGATCTTGAAATGTTTCGGAGTGGCATAATATGTCATCAATGTAGACCATAGTGTAATCTTCAACTTCATCTCCGAGTACCAAACTTAGTGCTCGCACTAAAGCTGCTGAAGATGTAGCTAATCCAAATGGTGTAACTTTAAATTGGTAAACATTTCCTTGAAACATAAATGCTGTGTATTTTCTAGACTCTTTAGCCAGTGGTACCTGCCAAAAACTTGAAGTAAGATCAAGTGTAGTTAGCCAACTTGTGCTTCTTCCTTTTGCCATTATTTCATTTACTCCTCTATTACATTCATGGTCTGGAATAATCATACTGTTTATTTTTCTTGCATCTAAACATATTCTTATTTCATTATTCTTCTTTACAACTACTACAATTGGGTTTATGAATGGGCTATTACTCCTTTCAATAATGTCTTCTTCAATCATTTTATTTAACTCTCTTTTCACTGCATCTTGGTACTTAAATGGTACCGGATAATTCATTTGTTTAAAAGGTTGATTCTCTTTTATTTCAATTGAGTGTTCATACATATTGCATCTCCCAGACCTTTCTGAAAATATGTCTCTAAATTCCCAAAGTAAGCCTGATAATTGTTTCCTTTCTTTATCATCTATATGTCTAATTCTATTAATTTCTTCAGAAATTCTTTCTGTAGTTAATAGATTGTCTTCCTTCTCATCCATACTTTGAGTGAATTCTCCTGTTTGTAATATATTGCATCTTAAGCTTTGAATGAAATTATTGTTGAATTTGATGTTTTCTTTTCCTATAGTAGCATAGTTTTTATTTAAATTTATAACCATGTTCAGTTCTTTCATCGTATCGATTCCAATTATTATTTCCTTAATCAAGTTTGGTATAATCAAACATTGAATTTGTGTACTTATTGAGCCTATTTTTGCATTTATTAAGATAATACTCTTAACTCGCTGGGACTTCTGATTCACTGCTGTAGTTATTATAGTATTTGTTAATGGAAATTCTTCATATTTTCCTAAATTGTGTTTATTTTTTAAAAACCATTCCCTTTGCATACAAGTAACAGTGCTTCCAGTGTCTAATATACACACTGTACTTACTTTTTCAAAATTAATGTCAATTTCTGGTACATGATACATGTGTTTAGTTTCTTCAACATTATTGATGTTGTCATTTAGTAAGAATTCTTTGTCGACATAAATATTATTTATAGGCCTAATATTTTCTAATTCATTTTGCACTGAAAATTTATTAAGTGTCTTGTCCGGTGATGTCAAAATTTCCCTTAGGCCTGCATTATTTCCAGTGCTATCTAGTTTAAATATTTTTGTTTAGGTTCTTCTCGGTTACTATCCCCTGGTTTTTGATTGCGATCATAGCTTTTTCTATTTTCATAATTATTTTGGAAATGATCCCTCCTATTTTCATTTTTCTTTTCAAAATAGTGTCTGTCCCCTGATGGCCTGTGATTAAATGAACCTCGTTGATCCATGTTTCTTCCTGATGGTCTGTGACTGTATGAACTTCTTCGTTCTACATTCCTTTCTGCCTCGTTCCGTATAGATTCGTTAATTTCTATCGTATCTTCTCTACTTAATAGTTCCTCCATTTGATGTATTGAAACTATGTTTTGCACTCTGGAGGCCTGTTGAATTGTTTCGTCAAAATGTCGAACAAGGCGACGAACTATTTCCCTCTCTGTGAATTTTGGTGTCATATTTTGCAACAGTATTACTCTGTCGATGAAATACTCTGTTCTTGTCAGTCCCCTTCTTGGTATGTATTTTTCTAAGTCTAATTTAGTTTTAATTCCATCTTGAATCTCCTCATTCCAATATTTGTTCATAAAATATTTTTCAAAGTCTTCAATATCGTGTACTGAAGTCCTAACTAGATCCCACCATCGTGCTGCAGTTCCTTCCAAGCATATATCTAGGATTTCTTCTAAATTCAGTGATTGTTCATCCTGTGAAAGCCTTCGTTCATTTTCCCTGTTATAATAGTTTTTCAGCCTAGAAAGGAATTGATTTGGGTTTTTTGATTTTCCATTGAATTTTGGTAAGTCTTTAGCTATGGTGCTAGGACATGTGATATGTAGGCCTACTGGTTTCCCACTATTCCCAGCTTTTAACTTTGCCTCAAATTCCTTATTGATTCTTTCCTGATTCTCTTGAATCATTGTGATTCTTTCCTCAATATGGTTGTGTATTTCTTCCCTTAATTCTGTTATTTTTGTATCAAATTTGGATTCGATTTGTCTTATTTCGATGGTCAGATCCTTCCGAACTTTTTCTATTTCTTGTTTAGTTTGTTTAAATTGTGACAATACTTGTTCTTTAAACTCTTCAAGTGTCTGTAATATAGGCCTAATTATTGTTTGGTCCATGTTTGTGTGCTGTGTTCTACTGGGACTTGTTACGTTACTATGATTTAGATTGTCGCCAGACGCTAAATTTTGATTATCGATACTGTATAAGTCATCTCCGGGATTGTCATTATTAGGGTTTAATAATTCTTCCATATTGATTTCGTCTAATTGCCGGCTCATATTTAAGTGTGCTTCTTGTGCTCTAAGTGTAGGTGTTATATATTTTCGTAAATTATATCTCTGCATTAAAATAATCTATAACCGTGATAAAATCAAGCCACCTAGTTGGGCGCCAATTTGTAACGTCTCAATGACTTAAATCTGAATTTCATTTAATTGTATTTATTTTATTTTGTATTTTTATCAAAGTTTCTCAGGGATGGGTTCTTTGCCACGTGACTGATTTTATCCTAACTGCAGAATGTGTGAAATGTGAGATATAATGTTAAGTTATACAGAGCCACTATGTGTAAGTGTTATTTGGTCGCAGCACTCTTAAAATAAGGTGCCAGACAACTACCAAATATGCGTGCTTGTTTAGTGTTAAGCCGCAGCACCAGCGGTCAGCCGGGGCCTGACAAATGCTTTGTATGGAGTTAAATTGTTAGTGCCACTACTTGTAAGTGTTATTTCGGTCGCAGCACTCTTTAAAAAAGGTGCCAGACAACTACCGAATGTGCGTGAGTGTTGAGTGTTAAAGCCGCAGCACCAGCGGTCTGCCGGGGCCTGACAAATGCTTTGTGTGTAGGCCTATTCTAATTTCTATCCTACTTACTTGTCTAATTCAAATTACCTTATTAATATTTCAAATGAGTACACAATTGGGACTGACCTTATTCCTTGTTTTTATTTTCTTTTACAAATACAAATTTGATTACTATTGATTATTGTTTTATTTGCGCCTGGCAAATGGTTTAAGCCTGGTTTACACGAGTAGAGTTGTGGGTAGAGTAGAGTTGCTAGTAGAGTAACTATCTTGTCCACTCTACCAATTTCATGCAAGCGCCTGTTCACACACAGTAGAGTGTTGATGATAGTGTCCCTCTTCTTCTTCCTGTTCCTGTTGATGATAGGTTTGAATTCCTCAATATGAGCGTTGTTGCAAAGAAAAGAAAATTAATTAAATCAGTAATTCCTAGATATTTAAATGTGCTTATAAGAGAAGTTGCTGAGGCTATAGATGAAGAGTCAAATAGACAAAGAACGGTATGGGTAAGGGAATGGCTTAAAAGAAGAAATACATGCGGAGCATCCTCTCTCTTGTTAACTGAGTTAGCCATGGAAGATGTGAAAGAATATAAGAGATGTTTGAGGATGACACCAATAAAATTCAACAAACTTTTGGACATGGTTGGGGACAAAATAAAACGGGAAGACACAATGATGCGTGAAGCGATACCTTCTAGGTTGAAACTAGAGGTTACCTTAAATTTTCTAGCAACGGGGAACAGCTATAGGAGCCTATCTCATTTCTTTAGAGTTTCAATACCAGCAATTTCTAAATTTGTGCCAGAGGTTTGTGAAGCAATCTCTGAAGTACTCAATGATTCAATAAAGGTAAGTGTAATAAGTTTATAGATGTACTTAGATAATTAAAAATATAATAAGGTTATAAACATAGCAAGGACAATGAAAAATTCTGTTAACTCTAGTTATATTCTCAGGTGCTGTAATCCAGTCTTAACTAGGTAAATTAATGGGAATTAAACATGTACCGATTAGGTTAAATAAAATAATGTTTGAAAAAAAACACACTTTTATTGATAATTAATTGACAGTTTGACAACAAATAGAACTAGTATACAGTCAATGCTCATTTTTTTGTAATTTCCATTGCACGATTAATCAGAAGTGGTGTAGTTAACATTACCGGCATCTTCGATGGAATCATTTTGTTCATATTGCAAAATTACTTCCTGAGGTAGACTCCTTCGTCAACAATATACAAATCAGGGGTGGGATAACGGCGACTTCCATTGACTGTGTAGCTATTAGTGGGAGTGGGCGTCCATGATTCCTCCTGTGAGATAACACTCAGTCTGTGTTTCATTAAAACACCCTGAATCTCATGTTGAGCTAGCAATGCTGTTGCCGTCGGTAATACTTTTAGGCTAGCTGCAACAAAGTTGCCAAATGCATCATGTTCATTATTTGGATTGTTTTCTATTTCATAAACGGATTCGGTGACATGTCGGAGATTCTTGACTGCATCAGCTAAATGTTCTATCTTCCTCTTCTTAATACTTGGCTTTTCTTTGGCCTTTTCTGATGCCAACCTGTTGACGGACAATTTCTCCCGCGTAGGCTGTACATGTGTTTCAATTGTTGACTCCAAATTGGATTCAGGGTCATCAATAATTGACTCAATCTCTGTTTCCTCATTGTTTTGAGTCTTCTGTATAACAGTTTCCTGAAAAAGAAGAAAACAATATATAATATGTATAGTATCATACATTTCTTATTTTTGTTACAGGTTCCACACAAAGAAGAATGGCAACATATTGCTGAGGGATTTGAGAAAACTTGGAACTTCCCCAACTGTTGTGGGGCAATAGATGGGAAACATGTTGTAATTAAAGCACTTATCAATTCTGGAAGTGAATACTATAACTACAAGGGAAGCCATAGCATTATACTTATGGGAGTCGTTGACCACCGATACCGCTTTGTGTATGTTAATGTGGGTTTTAAAGGATCAAGCTCTGATGGAGGTGTGTTTCAAAATTGTGGACTGTACGAAGCATTGGAAAATAATTTATTACCTGATGGCTTATTTCTTGTAGGGGATGACATTTTTCCATTGAAAATGTATTTGAAGAAGCCTTACTCTGGGTACAGAAGACGTCTTACTATTATGGAACAAGTGTACAATTACCGGTTGAGTAGGGCAAGAAGAATATCTGAAAACGCATTTGGAATATTGGTCAGCCGTTTTCGGGTTTTTGAGCGACCATTGTCAGTGCATACTACTACCGTAAACAAAATAGTTAGCGCTTCATGTTGCCTTCACAACTGGCTGGCAGACACGTCCCCTGAGACATATTTTGCCCATGGTTCTGTTGACATTGAAAATTTGGATACTGGTGTTGTAATTCCTGGCAACTGGCGGCAAGAAATAAGTGAACTAAGAAATCTTGAGCCTTTTGGTGGTCCTCAGTCAACTAAAATGGCAAAAAAATGAGAAATCACTTAAAACATTACTTTAGCGGCGAAGGAGCTGTTCCATCTATATATAAAATCCAATGTATGTTTGTATATTTGTATGTTTGTATATTTGTATGTTTGTCCTTTATGGACTCCAAAACCGCTCGATAGATTGTAATGAAACTTTCAGGCATTATTAAGCATTATTCAAGGATGGTTTGTGTGAAGTTTGGTGCAGATCCGTCAATAGGGCTCCGCCCCAGTGGCTCTGGAGTTTCCCATGTTAACCTTATGAGTACTGGAATTAAAGAATCTTAACAGCTGGTGCAACTAAACAATTTGATTCTGTGATGTTCAATAGCATTAAAAAGTGAATAGGTTTACCAACAGGGTGCAGCACTATATTTATTTTTAATTTATGAGAACAGTTAATTTGCAACTAAAAGGTAAGTGAGCGTAGCGAACGAACTTCAACCTGGAGGCGAGTTAGCGTAGCAAACGAGCTAACCTGAAGGCAAGTGAGCGCAGCGAACGAGCTCCAACCTAAAGGTGAGTGAGCGTAGCGAACGAACTTCAACCAGGACGTGATTGAGCCATGCGAACGAGCTCATCTTGAAAATGAACGAGCATGTGACATAAAACCACAATAGGACAGGACGACGTCTGTCGGGCCAGCTAGTGGCAGTATAAAAATGTATATTGATCTTGCTTGTTACTCACACAATATGTATACTCACGCTCACAAGTATGCATAATATTGGCTAATTAATGTATTAATTAATTAATGTATTAATGTTGTAGAGTTGTAGTGTATAATTTTAAATTAAAGCATAATGTTTACTAACCACAGAGTCTTCAGTTTTTTTATTTCCTTTTGAACTTTTAACTATGTTATCCATTATAGGGAACCATTTTAGGCTAGGGACATAAACTTCAGCAGAGCCCGAACCAGATTTCTTCGACCTCTGTATTTTTACGCACTCTTGGTTATAAGTGCATCTGAGGTTTTTGATTTTCTGCTTCAACTCGTTAACTCCAAAGCCAGCCATTCCAAACCTTGTTACGATTTCCTCTTCTGCGGCTTGTCTTTTGTTTCTATTTATATAATGAATAGTACCGAGGTTCCACAGGCAGTCATATTCATTGTACAACTCAATGAGTTTACAAGTTTCCTCTTCAGTAAACTTCATAATAAGTTTATTCACACGGAACACGCCTGGACACACGAAATACAACAACACAAGTCTCCAAAAACAGCAGACGGCAGACATTCAAGACAGCTTCACTCTACTGGAAACTCTACTCTACTACTGACTCAATCATGTTTACACGGGTATAGTGTGCAGGAGAGTGACAATTTTGCTAGTGGTGGGGGAAGTAGAGTAGAGTTACTATGCCACATGTCGCTAGTAACTCTACTCTACCACCTACTATCTACTATACTAACTACTAGGCGCTAGTGAGTGTTTACACGGGTAGAGTTACTCTACTAGCAACTCTACTCTACCCACAACTCTACCCGTGTAAACCAGGCTATAAACCCGCAGCGCTGACTGTCAACTCGTGAAGTGAAGACTGGCCCGTGGACTGCTGTTTTTATACCCGATTTGGTTGCTATGGAGACCATGGAATGTTCTAGAACTTTAAACCCAGATGTTTCCACCAAAAGTTATCTTCCTTTTCCGGCAGCCTGACGTCATCGCTGCCCACTTGATCGTTCTTGATCCATCAGCTGCTGTCGGCTGGAGCTCGAGCTGTCAGAGAAGCTATTGTAAACTAGTAAACAAACATTGAAACAAATGTAATAAATAAATATGTTTTAATTATTTAGTTAGTTGTTAAATTTACATGTTTATCCCTTTGAGTGTGAAATAAAATAGTAATGTACATTCATAACTGTTATTGTGTTGCTGAAATATTTACAATGGATAACCTAACCTAAATACGGTAAGTGGGTAAGCTAACCTAGGTACGGTAAGTGGGTAGAAATATTCTTTATTACCACTATTTACAAAATAAACTATTAGAAACATTATTTCATTAGTAATTTAAAGAACATTAAGAAATATTTAAACTATGAAAAATGTGAGATAGGCCTACTTTTATTACAATTGATCTAACAAAAACCTAACCTAGCCTAGGCACAACATAGCCTAAAACGGTTACCGGTAAGTTAAATTGAAACATTACACTATTGATGTCATCATTTGTTTGATATTAGACACGTTTGGGATGAATATGGGTGGAGGTTTAATCTCCTTCTCCTTATTGTCAGAAATAACAGTTTCTTCCATGTCACTTGAGTCACTAAGGGCTTCAAACATGTTTCCCGTTTGAACCACATTGTTTGAGGTCGATTGTCGAGGTTTTTTAGAATGACGGGTTTTCAGATTAACATTTCCCCTCTTACAAGTTCGTATTACCCGGGACAGTTTGCCAAAAACCATCATGACGCGTGGTTACAATACTAGTATTCGATTGGACGTTACTGGTTTGAGCGGACGACAAAAAAAGTTGTTCATTCGCTGGACTTTCACGATTACAGATCACATCACCGTTTTTTGAATCACCAGTGTCAATACCATAGTCATGATCCAACATAGTATTAGCTGACTAGCAGGAACAATTCAAAGAACGAAACAAAGGTAAACACAAATCAAACATCAAATTGAAAGATTGAGGTTATGGAAACTAATACGTAAATCTTCCTTATTAAAACACAAAACTTTACAGTTTTTAATGAAAGATTAAACACTAATGACCAAAAGGATCTTATTAACAGAATATAAAAAGTCCAGTGAAATTCTTACCAAGAATTTAAGTGAAAATAACTCACATAATTAAATTCTTGGTTTTCACAACACAACATCTGACACAACAGCTGACAAACTGTAAATTGTACAGGTAAACATTGAACTTCATTGTTTTTCAACTAACAACTGATCATAGAAAGTATAAAGGACACGACATACTGTAGTTGAAATGCGTGAGCTGGGCATTGAACCTATTTTGGGCCTTTAAAAATACAATGAATATATACACTTAAAGATAGACTGAGGGTATATTTGGTAGACAGACCTCTGTATTCATATGGAGTGAAGTGGATGACACATCACTTTTTGGCAACTAGCCACCATCGTAGTTAGTTTTGTTTTTAGATTTAGTTTTAGAAGTGCAATCTTCTCCGTCTTTGTAGGTCACCGATGCAGTATTCAAGTACAGTAAGTACCTATTCAAAGTTCTTTGAGTATGTTGTGTGACACGGCGCGTCTTTACTTGACCAAGTATGGTACCAGTATTATTGGTGTACTAGTTGGTTGATGTGGCATTTAGTTTTGACTTTGGAACCATCATCAGTCTGGCACCTGCTTTTATCAAACTGTTGTTTAAAGCAAGCTTCAGGTTTTACAATAGGATGAGAAGTCTGCCACCACTTGTCGTATTCAAAGTCAGTGATGATAATTAATTATGATACGAATTTAACATTTAACTGCAATCTAAGTGTAACCGAATTAACAGATTAAAATAATGTATCCTTACATTCGCAATGACTATATATCCTCCAAGGTTGTGAGTTATAAAATCAATGGTACTAGCTTCAGCTTTGAGAGTACGTGTATGTTTAACCTTTGCCTATATTCTCCTATGACGTCATCACAAGATAATAAGTCACCTTAAGCCTGTGTCACACTTGGCTACTTACTAGCACCTACCTAGTAGCAGCTACTGAAATAGCAGCTACTTTTCCGGTCACACTTATTTTGGTAGCGTCTATTCACTAGCTGCTACTACTAGTTTAGCTCAAGAGAGGTTATGTCCCAAAGACACGGATATTTTTTATACAGGTACAAAAAATAATCACATCTCCCCCACCCTACTTCGGATCGCTCACCTCAGAAATTATTCAAAATGAACGAGAATAAACAAATCAGGCAGACAGCACGTGGTGCAAGTAGCCGCTAGTCTGCTATTGAAGCTGTCACACTGGGCGACAGTCGCTACTTGATAGCTGCTAGTTGGTCACGTGACTCACTAGCGCAGTTTAGTAGCACGGAAAGTTGGACATGTTCAACTTTCCATGCTAGTAAAATTTCACTAGCGCGCTATTCTTAGTAGCTGCTACTGCCTATGTCACATTGGCTACTTAGTAGCTGCTATTTCGCTAGCTGCTAGTAAAGTAGCGTAGTGTGACACATCAAGCCTGTGTCACACTACACTACTTTACTAGCAGCTAGCGAAATAGCAGCTACTAAGTAGCCAATGTGACATAGGCAGTAGCAACTACTTAGAGTAGTGCGCTAGTGAAATTTTACTAGCATGGAAAGTTGAACATGTCCAACTTTCCGTGCTACTAAACTGCGCTAGTGAGTCACGTGACCAACTAGCAGCTATCAAGTAGCGACTGTCGCCCAGTGTGACAGCCTCAATAGCAGACTAGCGGCTACTTGCACCACGTGCTGTCTGCCTGATTTGTTTATTCTCGTTCATTTTGAATAATTTCTGAAGTAATCATGTCGAGTGATCCGAAGTGGGGTGGGTGTGATTAATTTTTTGAACCTGTATAGAAAATATCCGTGTCTTTGGGACATAACCTCTCTTGAGCTAAACTAGTAGTAGCAGCTAGTGAATAGACGCTACCAAAATAAGTGTGACAGGAAAAGTAGCTGCTATTTCAGTAGCTGCTACTAGGTAGCTGCTAGTAAGTAGCCAAGTGTGACACAGGCTTTACGGTAGAGTGAATCCGAAGAGTGTTGTACTACTCGCTTCAGCAGAGGACAAGGGCTGGCTGAGATGCAATGCAAGACGACGCTTCTCATTCGGTCGTTCGTGGTTCTCGTCTCAGTTCAGTTTGACATTTTGACGTTATACAAAACAATCAAAATATACCGCACGATAAACAATAAATTTTAATAACAAGATAAGTGACTGACTAGTGAAGTGAGGTAGCGGTGATTTAATCGAAGTAGTATTTTGTGAAATATGATTATGAAAACCGAGAAGAAGCCTGATAATTTCAACAACGAGAAACCCACTGGAGACAATGAAGATTCGGAATCGTTAGAAGAACAGCCCCTTGACATTGGAGAACACTATCTTGTTCGGAGGTCCGACGATTCTTGGCGTAAGTAAAATAAATAGCACTTAACATAAGTGCTTCCGGTAAATATTTTGTAACCCCCATGTTTAGGCTTGAGCACATTAAGTTACCTCAGCATTACGCCTAGCGTAAAAGCTCAACATAAAAGCTATGATAGCCTAGGCCATGTTTTCTTCAGTTAAAACCAAAGCTTATCTTTATGAATGAGATAACCTATTTAAGTCAGGTCGGCTGCACTTTACTTTAGGTCCTACACTCATCCGAATGAAAATATCGATCGATATATCGATTAATCAATTGTTTCATTCGATATATCGGTTGGTTAGTTAGGTAAGGTTATCCTAACCTACCTAACCAAACGATATATCGAATGAAACAATCGAACAAGTTTCATTCGAATGAGTGTAGGACCTAAAGTAAAGTGCAGCCGTCAGGTCATTGAATTAAACAAAAGGATATTCAATATAGGCTAGGTGCCTCCAAACAAATTTTTAAATTTGATAGCCTATCTTACATTACTTACATTTTACCTGTAGTTTTTTTACCTGCACTTTACGTTCTACACTCATTGGAATGAAACAACCGAATGAAATTAACCTTACCTAGGCCTAATTAATCAAATGATATGAACAATTGATATATCGATCAATATTTTCATTCGAATGAGTGTAGGACGTAAAGTAAAGTGCAGCCCTGAATTCAAACATACCATCACTTTTCACCGCAGATGAATATTACCGAAGATATGTAGGCTGCACTTTACCTTTCGCCGTACATTCATTTGGGTAATTCTGAGCAATTGCTTAGTCAACACCAAACTTTTTCATATTTTACTACAGTCATAACAATGTTCTTCTTTCAACATGTTCAATAGAACAATGTTCTGGTATTCAATAATTAATAATTTAGCTGTAACCTAAAGGTGAGTGAGCGTAGCGAACGAACTTCAAC